GGCGAAGCAGTGGACATATGATGAGAGTATATGATGCTTGCTATGAAATATTGAAGATTCAGAAATTTCGACGGCTGGTCTCCTATGGTGGATTTTATTGTTTTGCGGCAGTATTGAGTTATGCTTATACCAACAACACGTAAATATTATATGTTGGTTTATTTTTGTGGGATGAGCTTTGATGATTTGATGAGGAATAATAATGATTTCTCTGTTCTTGGTGTTGAAGCACGAGAGCTGGGTATTCCAGAGGTGATCAATTCTATGCATCTTATCCTGCAGGAACAGAAATGCTAACAGACACTGCAAAGGTTAGAACTGATAAATGTCGAGTCCCTCTCCATCTGAGAACTTGTGTATTTTTAAGGCTTCATTATCTGATAAATGCGAAATTTGTTTTGCAGTTATACAAAGCCGCGCTTGGCAATTGCTTTGAGGTGGAGGATTGGGGGCCAATAGAGTTTTGCATTATGGCTAAACATTTTGAGCGACAGGGGAAATCACCATATGCTTACCATGCTGTAAGTTGGCTTATATACTCTATGCATTTAAAAAAATGGAGGGAGTAATGTTTTGTGGGTATGACATATCTGTGGTAGAACTGTATGATTGCTAAAAACTCTATGAAGTTCATTGAACGCTCTTCTTGTTTGATACTCCCGTATGTTCCTATCAAGAAAATTTCTTGGTGTTAACTGTCTAATCTTCTGTGATGACAGCAATACATGGCTCATCTTCTTTCACATGGGCAGCTCGATGGAATTGGATAAAAAAGGTTTGTTAAGAGAGTCCTCGAGGAAAAAACTTGACTGGAAAACTGTTACTACAAATACCATGAGCTAATAATGAACCTTGGCCCTGGACCAAACCTAACATGCCCTCAATGAATTCCTGCCTGTAAATGTTTTACTATGATGCTATATTGTACACTTATGTCTCAAAACTAGTAATTCTGAAATGCGGAATTATTGTACATGTGCAGGGTATCACAAACTCTTATTATTTTTGCTTATTGCTATTTTGCTTAAATACTAAGTGCATGTTGCTTTTTTGCATTTGCATTATCCTTCCAATAATTACTGTTATTAGTTAACTTGAATCTGTTCTATTAGTACTTGAGCAAATGTTGATGTGGAAATAAAGCATCAATCTATCAACACTACAGGTTTGTATATTGTAATTATAATTTCAACTGGTAAATTTGGTGGCACGACATTACATTGGATAAACAGAGATGTCTTCAAACTGTAGCAAAAGTAAGTGCCTCTAGAATTAGAAGCTCAACTTGGGCAAGGTAGGATTACAAATTAACAATAGGGAAAAGAGAGATAATAAGGCTTTATGCCAGTGGCTTGTCGGGGTTATTACTGAAGCTGAGGCATAATTTGCTGAACAGAAAATTCTTGGAAGGTTTGAGGCTCTACCATATCCTGTGAAAGTAATTTGGTTTCTCGAACGTAGTAAAGGCAAAGCACGCAATCTTCTTCCCGGTGGAAAATTTCTGGCAGAAACAAAGCTCAAGGGTCACTCCTGATCTATCCTAAAGAAAATTAGGCATACTGTACATGTAATCTTACAAGGTTAGAAGTTGCTAGCGTAACAACAATCTAACAGACAATGAATGACGAAGAATCTACTAAATACTACGAGGCCTACATACACCATAACAAAACAGACAAGACCCAGAGGATAGTCTGGCCTGCACTAAATATTTTAGAATATATTACAGCTGAATCCACCATTATCTTGATTTCCACACTTTGCTCTTTTGTATTCTGTCATCCTGCAAGATACAATAGACAATAGAAGATTAATTATGCATGCAGAGAACCTTGAAACATCTATACATATCTATGGTGTCAACCAGTTAAGTTACATTCATGACAACATTTTGCCCATTAACAGTGAACATTAAACATGTCATGGGTATTAAATACAAACTAAAGACCATGTCAAGCATGCCTGGTGTTTAGTATTCAACTATGCTATACTATATTATCCCTCAGACCTTTTTAAAGCACTGTTATATGCCTATATTTGACAGGCAGATTTAAGCAATCTCACCCCTTCTAACGGCTGAGTTTGTTTCCATGAATTAGGCATATACATGAGACTGCTAGTTTTCATAAGAAAACATAGTATAGTAAAATAAAATTTCAAACCATCACATCTATGTTATAGATTATATATATATCTAAAAAGTTTCCAAATGAATTAAAAGTGCACTAGACCATCCAGAAATAACCATCAAACACAATGTCTTGGATGTCCACAAAAAGTTGTCACGTATCCTGAAATAATAATAGTTCATAGAAGAACTTCCTTAGTTGCCCTATAAAAGCGATGGAAAGAAAGCGGGAATGATAGTTAGTAAAGGGCAATTAAAACTCATGTACTGGGAGGCTGGGTGAATATGACTAGATTATCTTTAATGACTATTGATATGCAGATTGAAATTTGTAGTGTACTAGGATAGGTGACAATTGACTTTTGAAAAACCACATCAGAATTCCTTTCTCAGCTAAAAAAACCAGCACTTTCATCAGGCAAGAAGCATGAACAAGCAACTTTAGAATTTAGTTGATTTAAAATCAGTTAAAGATGGACTGTCAGCAAACCAGCAACACATCTAGTTAAGAGATTATTATTGTATCTCAGTATCTCTAAACAGTCTTGATGCGTAACGCACGAAAAAAATCCTCCTAAGCAGCATAAACCATAATACATAGGAAACACATATAATTATGTTTGATCCCTAAGTTGAGGTTTGGGCTTGATATATTTCTTGAACTTGAGGGGTATTAAGCTTTAATTTATAACTGATGTTACGGCATCCATTTGAGGCAATTCTTATTTTTCTACAAGATGTACGTTTTGTCAAAAAAAAAAAAAAAAAAAAAAAAAAAGATGTACGCAACTCCACATTTACGCCACCGTAGTTGAGGTGATAGCAACATTCTAAAATATCTTTCCTTTCGAAAAAAAAAAAATAGCAATATTCTAAAAAGTTAAATGCTAAGATAGAAAGATGTCTATTTATATGATAAACCTTGAAAAGGAAAATCCATGATCTCTCACAACTATATAGAGATGAAAATGTTCTCTCACAGCTTAAAAACCTTACAAGAAAGTAATTAACATAAAAAAGAAGAAACTGTTATGATCTTTATCTGGATTAGACCATGGCCACACCCTTAAATTAAGGGTAGGGATGTCCAAACTAAATTGAAATCTTCATTTTGTAATTCCTTTTATTCAGTTTGTATTTGAGATCAATTTTTAAAGTGTCTAGCTCCAAATGCATACTACATAAGACTAGATGTGGTTATTGGACAAGGTAGTCCAATGATAATAGGGTCAGGGCCAAGCTTATAGGGCTTTTAATGGATTAATAGACAGATACCTTATTGGGTAGGGTCAACATGTTTTTCCAATTTAGTTGATAAAAAAAATACATAATGTAAAAATAATTATATAGATTAATTTGTTTTCATTTGTATTTAATAATGGCTTTGTCCAATATTTATTTTAATTGATATTTTGTAAGCCTGCCCATTATCGACCCGCGGCCCGCATTATCCCGACCCTATTGACCCTATAAAATGTGACCCTCTTTGACCCTGACCCGCAACTGACCCGCACCGACCCTGACTCGACCCGCCCAATAACCAGGTCTACATAAGACTAAAGTAGAACCAATTAATCTAATGAGAGTTTAATCTAAAAAGTTAATTGCTAAGATAGAAAGATGTCTATTTACATGATAATCCTTGAAAAGGAAAATCCATGATCTCTCACAATTATATAGAGATGAAAATGTTCTCACAGCTTAAAAACCTTACAAGATAGTAATTAACATAAAAAAGAAAGTGTTATGATCTTTATCTGGATTAGACCATGACCACACCCTTAAATTAAGGGTAGGGATGTCCAAACTAAATTGAACTGTTCATTTTGTAATTCCATTTATTCAGTTTGTACTTGAGATCAATTTTTAAAGTGTCTAGCTCAAAATGCATATTACATAAGACTAAAGTAGAACCAATTAATCTAATGAGAGTTTATTTTCGAAATATCAAAAGGACAGGGTAAAACTAGGAATTAATGCAATCTATATTATTATTTCAAAGTGCGGGTGAATGATGATTAAGCAAAGGCTAAGGCTCAATCCATTCTCAAAGTCTCAAGTATGCCACATCATTCGCATATAAAAGGCAAGCATTTTATTAGTGATCACTCATCACGCACCAATCAATAGGGGGAACAAAAAAGGAAACCTAGATCAGGATAGAAAAATGAACAAAAAAAAAAGTACTACCTCCCTTAATTTTTTGTTGCAACAAAGAAATTTCGAGACTCACAAATAATACCGCTTTGTTGTAGCTAAAAATTAACAAAGGTAGTAATTCAAATAATTAGTTCAAGGAAAAAAAATTAAACTAAAATCAAATCAATAATCATACAGGGGGATACAGACAACAAGATTATGATAGAAAATTAGACCAAAAAAACAAGGATTAAAAAAAAGTAAATTTCAATTATATTTTAGCATGAGAGAAGACTAAGAAATGAGCCAAAAAAAAAAGTAAAAAGAGGAAATTTCAATCGTTTTCACCTTGAATTAGGCAAACAAGACATTCATGATTAAAAATTATAAATCAATTTTCTAGCATGAGAAAAAGGAAACCAAGAACAATAACAGTCATGCAACTTGAAAAAAAAGGTAGCCACAACCAAGAGAGAAAACTAGACAAAATGGAAAGAAACAATAAATATAGGAAATTCAATCAAGATATTCCAATATGACAAAAGATTAAAAAGGAGCCAAAAAATTAATACTCCCTCCGTTACTTTTTAGTCGCAACAAACTAGTAGTTTGCGGACTCCTAGGCAAAAGATGGTAAGTGTAATTAACAAAAAATAAGGGCATATGTTTAATATTAATCCAACCCAAAAAAAAAAAAAAAAAAAAAAAAAAAAAAAAAAAAAAAAAACATCAATTACAACCACCTATCACCAACACCACCACCACCTTGCACCATACCACCACCACCTAGAACTATGCCGCCACCACCTAGCACCACCCCCGATTTCGCCCACCTACAACCCCGAAACCCACAACGTAACCCACGAACCCAGAACCACCATCCACAACCCCGAAACCACCACCTACAACCCCGAAAATTCGAACCAACAACCCACGAACCTAGAAAATTCAAACCACCAACCAAATCAACCCACGAACCCAGAAAATTCGAACCACCTACCCACGAACCCAGAAAATTCGAACCACCAACCAAACAACCAAAGAACCCAGAACCACCACCCACAACCCCGAAACCCACAACCCACGAACCCACATCCACCACCCACAAGTCCACAACCCCGAAACCCACCACCCACAACCCCGAAACCCACAACCCACGAACCCCCAATCCCAAAATCCACAACCCACGAACTTGAACCCAAACCCATAACCCCAAAATCCGAAACCCACAACTCTCTATCATCAATTAAAGCTTTAATTGGTCAAATTTAACCATCAAAACTATAAATTTAACCATAAAACCTTCAAATACGTGCTTCACCGCAGTGACAAAACAACAAGAAGAGGAAGAGAGAGAAAACGGAGGCGGCCGAAACAAAAGGGACATCGGCGGCAACTTCCGGCGACGGTGGTGTACTGAGGTGAATTTTTGGGTGATGAACAAAGAATGGAGATTGGTGGTGGACTAGTGGTGGTTCCCAATCAAGATGAGAAAGAACTTTTTTTTTTTTACAAAAGATGAGAATGAATTTAGATGGGAGAGTAATGATTTTGGGGAAATAATTAAGTTAGTTAATGTTAGGGTTTAAATTATTAAGTTAAAATTTGTAGTTTAATTAGGGTGTTTAGAAAAAAAAGTAAGGGTAATATTGTAAAATCACACAAAAAAAATTTACCATAAAAGGAAAGAAATAAGTTTGTTGCAAGTAATGTGTACCGGCTATTTTTAGTAATTGTTGCGAGTAAAAAGAAACGGAGGGAGTATTTGAAAGTTTTATTATAATAGTTGAAGTTTTGTAATTTTATGCCAAAATTATCTATATAATGCATTTAAAATTATAAATTTAGATAAGAAAGTAAAAGTTTAAGACCATTTCTTATACAGGCACAAACTAGTCTTTTACTTAATAAAAAAGATCATACTAGTCAGGTAATTCTGCAGTCAGCCATGAAGAATTACAATTTTGTCCTTCAGCAAAAATTAGATATTAATTCAACCACTTGCAATCAAGTTCGGGTCAAATCATTTTTGGTCGAAATTAGGTTCGGGTCGGACCACCTTTTGGTTGATTTCAGGTTTGGATCAGATTACTTTTGGGTTGATTCAGGTTTGGGTCAGATCATCTTTGAGTTGACTTTACAGGTTAGGTCATATTCGGCTCCGTTGCGAATATGATTTAATGATAAAACTAGATTTAGGCCCGTGACGCCCCGAGTTACTGCATTATTCCATAATTGAAATCCTTATTTATATTTAATTTTGGTAGAAGATATGTATATGGAGATAGCTTAAGTGGCTAACACTTTAGTTTTTAAACTTAAGGTTGTGGATTAAAATCTTTTACAACTCATATTTTTAAGCACGTGAAATGAAAGACTAATTGAGGAGCACCACGTGGCATGTAGGCTTGTTTAGGAACACCTTATAACATATAGTATAGATAATCATTATTATTTTTGTCAGGTCAAGTCAAATTCAGATCAAGTGATTTCGGGTAGAGTTTGAGTTTCACATAAAGTATTCCGAGCCGGGTAATCAGGCATGGGTTAGTTTTATCAATCACAAGGCTGAACATATTGCAATATAAGGTGTAAATTATGGCATTTTACCTGGCTGCATAGTGGACAAGACTAGTTCAAGTGCTATCCAGAGATTGACGCTTTATTCTCGAGCGCAGCTGGTCTATCGAGGCCAACGGAACTACAGAAATCTTTGCTGCCTTTTGACAATTGCTCTCATTTAGCTGCTGATCAGGCTGGTTATCAGAGGAGGTTGTCATTGCTCTCGTTTTAGGACGCTGAACTTCAAGTTTCCCTAGATTCACCTCATGTTTGTGACAGTGCCACTCATTTTGGTGCTGATCAGATTGATTGTCTGAGGTTGTCACTGCTCTTGTTTTAGGACCCTGAACTCCTTCAAATTTTCCACAAGTTCTCTCATGCTCATGACGGCGCTGCACAATTTGCTGCTGATCAGGCTGATTGTTGGAAGAGGTTGTCATTGCTCTTGTCTTAGGACGTTGACCTCCTTCAAATTCTCCTTGACTTCCTTCTTGTTCATGACAGAGCAACTCTTTTTGCTGCTGATCAGGCTGATTGTCAGAGGAGGCAGTCATTGCTCTTGTTTTAGGACGCTGACCTCCAATGTGCAATTTGTGCTTCTTCAGCTGTTGACAAGTTTCATCGTCTGAGGGTGGTGTTGTTTGTCCAGTTTCAGATGTCCTGTGAACTTTACTTTGCAATTTCTCACTGATGTGTTGCTGTGATATGCTGAGAGTTGCTGGATCAGAAAACCCGGCTAGTTTCTGAAGATGCAATATCGATGAAGCTGCAGTATCTTCCTTGGCAGCTTCTATCTGTTTTGGTGACCTTCCAAGGCAATCTTTTTCTGGCTGTTTGAATTGTTGCTGAGAATTTTGACCACTTTCTGGTTCAGATGACCCTTCTTGTCGATGAGCATGCAAATTTAAAGAAGCCACTGCATCTTCGGTGGCTGCTTCTAGTTGTTTCCATGGCCTCTCTAGGTTTTCTTCTTTCATGTCTTTGGTATGTTGATGAGAATAATGACCAGTTGAAGGTTCACATGACCCTTCTTGGAGATGCAAATGCAAATTTGAAGAAACTACTGCATCTTCTTTGACTCCATTTGTTTCTATCCACGGTTGTTTCTGGCCATCCGTTTCTAGCAGTATGACTTTATGCAGAGTGTTGGAAGAAAAAGCAAATTCAGATGACTCATCTTGCTGCTGAAAATGCAAGTTTGAAGAGCCTAGATCATCTTCCTTGCTTGCTTCTACTTGCTTCAGTGGCCTTTCTGGACCATCATTATTAGACTGCATTGTTTGAAGTTGGGGATTCTGATCAATTTCCAGCTCAGACAATCCTTCTTGCTGAAGATGCACATTCATTATAACTATTGCACTTCCCTCGGTTTCCTCTTTTTGTTTCCGAGGCCTTCCCCGTTTCTTTACCTGAAGTTGCAAAGTCAGCGAATCAGCCTTTACCTTGGTTGCACTTTCTTCTTTCCGAGGCCTTCCCCGGCCTGTCTTCTGTTTGTTTTGCTGCTTTTGATTCCAGTGAGTTGCAGGTTTAAGAAGCCCTTTTTGCAGCTGAAGCTGCTCATCTAATGAAGGCACGGCATCTTCTTTGCTTTCTTCTACTTGTTTCTGGGGCCTTGTAGGAACATTTTCCTCTTCTAAGGTACACATAGTTGCTTCTAGAGGCTGAAGTCTAACATCAATTTGACTTTTTACTTCTTGGTGTTCTATTTGATGCTTGGGATTTTGCAAGGATGGTTCTACCTGCTTCTGGTGTTTTTCTTTTTCTTGCTCGCATTGCAGAATATCTGACACAACATGTTCTGTAGCAATAAATTCAGATGGCTCGACCTCTGGACAAACATTTTGCTGATCAGTTGCCAGTTCACGGTTGCTGATTTTATTAATCTGGCAAAGTTTGGAGAGTGTCTCTTCAACAACCAAATTGAATGCCGGTTTAGATGGCACTTCCTGTTCCCAAAGACACTGACGCTGCAAAAAAAAAGATGTGGTAGTTTCCTCTGTAGGCTCCTGTTGGTCGATGAGCTGCTGGTAATTCTGATCCAGTGTTGACACTTTATCTTCTATTACAGCAGTGGTTACCATTTCACCTATATACAGCTCATCTTTCTGTCCATTCAGATGCTGGGTCAGGGGTAACTCTACTGTGTTTACTTTGGCTGAATTTTCTGGTTCACAAAGAAGAGTATGGTCACCCCCAGTCTGTTGGTTATCTTTCCAAATATGACCATCATTCGATGGAAAAGTTTCTGCAGCCAGTTTGAACTGTAGTGAGCTTCCCTGATCCTTACCTTGTCCTAGATGCTGGTGATGAGGCAACATATCAGAAATTTCTTCTACAGGATCCATTACTCCAATCTGAGGTACATGATCCACACAGCTCTGTCTGTTTCTCCATTCCACCATGTGAGGTGATGGTGGTGTCATGCTTTCAGTTGCAGCAACAGTATCTGCCTCAAAATTACTACAATTCTGATCCTGTGGCTTCAGCTTCTTCTGTAGTTGTTTTTCTTTTCTCTTAGGCAGATTTACATGTGAATTTGAATTTGATATTGATGATGCCTCCGTCATTAAAGGTTTGTTTTGTGTCAGCATTTGTGCTACATGCCTTCTTCGCTTACCACACTTTTCCAACACCTGTTGAAGGGGCAGGTTCTCTTCGTCATCCACAGATATAAGCTCTTCCCAGCTACTATGGTGGTACCAAGGGTCCGGAGACTTCTGTCTATCCAGCTGATCTTTGAAACCATCAATCAAAGATGATGAACAAGCTTGTTGACTTTGACCAGCAGGTAATCCCTTGAAATTTGGAGACTCCAACAGAGTTGAACAGGGCTGAAAAATTAGCATCGACAATAAATACAAATGTAATAAATAAACTAAAATAAAAACTGGCACTCAGCAGTATAAAAAATATCTTTCTAACTGTATAGTTCTTCTTTCCACTAAAAGAACTGGCGCTATCTAATCTTTAACAGAGAAAGGCAAATTCAAAAGAGACGAAAATTCAAAGTAAAACATTATGGAGCTATCCACCTTTTAAATATTCATGAGAACGAACAAAAACTCAAGGCCAATTTTTTCTTGTTCACCTAACCAACTGTGTCAAATGGTTATACTTAAAAAGTTCAATAAATTAAAGAAAACACAAATCATGCAGAAACCTTTTTTTTTTTTTTTTTTAATGAAGTTTTTCAATTTGGTAAGAAAAGAAAAACAGGAACCTTTTTAGAGGTTAAGTTGATATTTTGCAGAATTATACATGTAGGTTAATCAAAGAATCTGTTGTACAAGTATTTACTGAATGGAACAGCAATCGAATGATGCCAATTTCTACTCCAATGAATTAAAAGTTGATAATTGCAATAAGAACTGGGTTCTTGGGGGTGAAATAGCGAATTTCTAAATGGGAACTGCAGATATAGATCTAGATCAGGAAACCACCTGCACAGACGTGAATTTTTCACTGGAACAAAATAATAAACTATGTAACACACGTAAACTAATGGAAACAGCATCCCGATTTATTTGGTAATTATCAACCAGAAAGTTCAAAAATCTACACCAAACTATTGTTCAGTATGACTAGTCAAAAATTAAGACAACTTCCAGTCACACATTAACATGAAAGAGTAAAAGCGCACAGACACTTGTTACACAGAAGCATGTGTTTTAGTCCAAAATA